CCCGAAACCCTAAACCCGGAACCCTTACCCTGAAACCGTAGCTCTGCAGAATAAAAAGTGCGAAATATATCTATACCCTAAACCCTGGTCAGGCGTCTGGCCATGTCGCCGCTGGAGGAGAAAAAGAAAAAGGAACCGACGGCTACGGCCGACAAGGAGACTGAGGCCAGCGAGTCCGAAGAGGAGGACTCGGACCAGACAGTCCCTGACCCCCCCCCGGAAGCGGCCAACGCGCCACCAACGACGGCGACCGCAAAGGCAGGAACACCTGCGGAAGGGCTCTCTCGCCCCAGCACCCCGGAGCGGGGCCCCGAGAAGCACCGCCCCAGCACTCCGGAGCGGGGCCCCGGGAAGCACCGACACAGAACCCCGGAGCGGGGCAGGAGAAAGACCACACCGGAGCGGTACCACCGCGACAGGAGACCCGAGAGGGGCCCGGAGCGGAAGCCGCGGGACAGGACACGGCGTGGGCAGCGCGGGACTACTGTCCGCTGCAACGTCTGCTGGAAAGAAGTAGCGGCGACGGCAGCCAGCCTGTCTCAGCACAGGCGCAGCCAGCGGTGCTTGTCCTGGAGGTTGTACGCCAGAGGAGGCCGTTCTTGGCGCGAGTGCGAGCACCTAGCAACGCAGCGCCACGCCGACTGGCAACGAGGCGACGCCTCAGAGAGCGACTGTGAAAGCTTGCTTGAGGACTTGCTCTCCGGGGGCAGAGGCCACAGTCCGCAGCGCAGACGTGGTCCTGGCAGGCCTTTCAAGGAAGGCAAAGGCAGGGAGAAGGTAAGCGTCAAAACCGAGCAGCACGAAGACGAGGAGCTACCCAAGGGAAAGAAGCGTGCTGCAAAGAAGACAGAAGAGAAGAAAAAGAAGAAGAAAAAAAGGAAGTCTCCCAGCTTGTCTCCTGCCAAGCCAGAACAGTTCCGGGATCCAAGAGATCCTCCGGACCCCTCGGACGACGCTGCGAAGCAGAAGCTCTTGACGGCGATGTGGGAAACCACAATGACAGTCGTCCTCCGGGGGCGATGAAGCTTACTGCCAGCACAGCAGCCAAGAGCTGCATGCTGGAGGGCTCAAGAAGGCCATCCACAGCAGCTGCGAGGCCCTAGCAGCTGAAACAACCGGAACAGAACGCTTTTTTGTTGCAAAAAGAAACCGTGCGCTGCAAGGGTCCCTCTGTTTTCACAATGTCTTAAGATGCCTTGATGTAAAAAAACCTACTGATTAGAAACCAGCAAACCCAACATGTAAAGTGTCAAAGAACATGAGCCTGAAGCCTTGAAGCGTTCCAGTGTAAATAACCCCCTAAACCCTAAAACCCAAAACCTTCAAGTTCCAGTTGGATTCTGCGCTGCTGGCGCTCTTTTGGCTCGGACGATATGTGGAAGCGCAGCGCTCCCTTGTGTAGGCTGGAAAGATCTCGTTTGCTCTCCTGCTCTTGCGGCGCGGCGGCGCATGTCGCCCAAGAACTTCGTGTTTCCTGCTGGAACGCAAACAAGCAGCATCATCTATGATATGCTACAAAGCCTGGAGCGTCTTCGTATATCGAAGAAAGATGCCGCAGTGCAGCTTGCAGCACTGCAGCGCGTGCTGGACTGCTATGCGGCAGCACAGCAGAAAGAGAGCCACAAACGCTACTTGGTTTGGATGTCTACCACGGTGACAGCACTGGAGTGCCTGCTGCAAGGAGTGGATGCGACGAGATGCCTGCAGGGCCCCCCAGCCGAGGAGCTGGAGCCGTATCTGGATCTTCGCATTCCGGAAGATACAGAGTGCACAGACATAGCTTTGTGTATGGAACTGCTGGGCAGCACCCAGTGCTTCCTAGGCAGCGATGCTTTCGCTTGCTATCGTTGGTTCGAAAACCACATCCTGCACCAGCACCCGCAAGGACTCGCGCAGTCCTGCTGAAACTGCCAGGACCTACTTTTGTGCTTAGGCTTTTTGGCAGGGCCAGAGGCAGGAGGGCACTACTGAACACTGCTCGGCAAGGAGACCCGACGAATGCAGGCATGAGGAAAAGTAGTGGCTTTAGGCTGAAGGTGGAGCGAAGGTGGAGTGAAGGTGGTATGCTGCGGCTAAGAACTTCAAGCGAAGGCGAAGGTGGTGAAGGTGGTACCTGGGCCTTGAAACTGTAAGCGAAGGTGGTGAAGGTGGTGCCCTGCTCCTTAGAAGCTTAGCGAAGGTGGCGAAGGTGGTTTACCTAATCCTAGCTGTGTGAGGCAGGGATAGCGAAGGTGGTGAAGGTGGTAGGCTTCCTCTGGACTGGGCCACAGCGAAGGTGTAGCGAAGGTGAACTGAAGGTGGTACTGCCTGGATGAGCTGAAATCACAGGCGAGGGAGTAGACCGTTGCAGCTGCCCTGGCAGCAAGTCTAGAAGCTTATATAGGTTTCTGAAGCCACTCAATTTGGACATGCTACAATGTAGAAATTCACGAGAGCCTTAGCTTTGCAAGTGGACGTGTATAGTTCTCCTGCCACAGCTTCTGGCTCACAGCAGACGGTGTTTAACTGCCAGCTAAAGCCCACGCCCGTCCTGCTAAGCGAGGATGGCGGAAACTCTACAGCTGGAAGTAGCTCAGCAGGAGCCGGCAGCGCGAGGCAAGTGCCACGACTGCGACCAAGAGTTCGACACCGCAGAACTGCTCGGACGCTGGTCCAAGAAGCAGTGCAAGAAGTGCAAAAGCTTGAGTCTCAAACTCTGGCGGCACCTGGGGGCTTGGGACTCTTTCGCCAAGTTTGACGAGAAGGAGCGCGTGCAGTTCTTTCGCAAGTCCAACGGCTGCGCCGAGTGGGCCACGGTCCAAAGCAACTTCACGGAGAGCCTGACACGTCAGCGGGTCTCAGAGACACGCTGCGAAACCGGAGGCAGCTACCTCCCTGCCAGCGTGCTGCTTACTCAGGGGTACACGCAGGACGTCATTGACGCCTGCTCTGACACGGAAGACAACCCCAAACTGGGGGGGAAAACGTACCGTTTGTCAGTTCACTCCGAGTACACCACCGAGGTGGAGCGCACTGTCCGAGAGGAAGTTCTGAAGCGCATCAAAGAGATCGCGCAGAACAAAAGTAAGAAGGTTCCTAAGGACTGGGACGTGCAGGCAGGCCAGCCGGGCCAGCAGAAGAAGGACAAAGAGGCCAACACGGAGCGGCAGAACAAGGCCACCGTGAGCCTGGCCAAGAACGCCCTGCCCCTGCTGAGTGCGACGTGGTGCGCCTTAACCGCCGCCACTGCAACAGGCACGCCAGAAGGTTTGGACGAGGCCACCAGGAGTCAGGTGCCGGAGTTCCTGAAGAAGCTTGGGGACTGGAAGCAGGCGTGTGAAAAGACCCTGGCGGAGAAAGAAAACACCGCCGAGCCTCTGCAGACCCTGCCCTTCGGCAAGGAAGAGTGGAAGCCGACCTGCAAGGCTGCAAACGAAGTTGTGAAGGGGGTGAAGGTCTGCAAGGCCGAGAACGCCCGAGGCAAGCGCGAAGCCAGGGCCGCCGCAAAGCGCGAAGCCGACCTGCTCAACCCCGGCTGCTTCAACAGCGGTGCGGCTGGCAACGGCAAAGAGCCTGCCAAGCGAAGGAGGACCAAGGGACAGTAGAGCCGGAAACTGTACACTATAATTCGTGCACGCGGTTGCATCCGAACCGTGTCAAGTGACACGGCAACGTTGTACATCCTGCAGCATCCTGGATGTATGTTTACTTAAAGTCCCATATGA